ATATCTTGCTTTTTACAATTAGGGCATTGTTTACTGCAACGAATATTCAAGCCTAAATTAGATGCAAGAGAATCAATTTTATTAGTTGCAGTTAATTTTTCTTCGCGCAATAAATCAAGAATTTCAAAAAAATAAAGATGCAATTCTTTATCTATAACATCTTGCATTTTAGGCGTAGGATTGAAAAGACTTTCGTATTGCAACCTATTAAGAGAATCGAATGCCCAAGGTTTATTATTATATGGGGTGAAGTCAATAGAAATGGGACAAATTTATCTAATAAATTTGTCACATTTCTATTGACTCCACCCCATATGTTGAATATAATTATGTGGATCTATATTAAAGGCAACAAAACTAGTAACAGTGTAAAATATCACTGTATTGTGTCCATGATCGAGATAATTCCTTTGCCCCTGTTGCTCATTGTCAAATACTAAAAATAAGAGACCTTCTGGTAGAGCTTCTTTCTTATCTGATAATTCTTCTAACCAGTTTTGAAAACGGAAATAACTTCCCGAACTTGTGATGTGATTATCGATATTGATAATAGTTTTTGACCTTGCAATAGAATATTTAATAGCTGATGCTACAAGGTTTATTTCTGATACGTATTTCTCATGTCTAGACCTATACACCGAATCGACTGCCATGGCCCTTTTAAAAATTTTTTCAGCATTTTCAAGATCTGTATTATGGTTATTGTATGTTAGTGTTTCAATAAATTTTACAAGAATTTGATTACGTTTACTTAGCCATAGATGAGAGGTATAATTTAATAGATTTTCTAAAGAAAATCTATTGTTCTCTCTAATCAAAGCTTCGATATCCTCATATAAAAAATTTCGTTCAATTAGCACAATATCAGTGACTACTTGTATGCGCTTATCTTGATTAGAGTACCGAGAATCCCAATGCTTGACCAGTTCTTCATTTCTATCAACTTTATCACTTAACAAACCTTTCAAATTAACTATAACTTCTTGGCACTCTTCTAACTGTCTCCTCAATTCTAAAATTACTTGTCTTGGTTTTCAAAGTTTCTTTGAAATTCCGTGATCATAGTAAGCTTTCTATTTTCTTGTTCTTGCAACTGTTGCTGCAATATTGTAATCGTATGCTCATAGTTTCTTATTTGACTAGTTTCTAGATACAATTCATCAATTTCTTCATGGGTATTAGAATCATAAGTAGGAGTAGGACTGTCAAAGCTAGCATCGGATCGAAGTCTCTTATTTTTAAAAGCAGAATTATCTAAAAGGTGGTGATGAAAATGATTAGTAGAAATTACTTGATTATAATGTTTTTCACAAATTGAATGCGAATACAAATAAAAATTAAGTTCAGGCATATAATCCATGTATAATTTAAGCTGATTAGTAGTGGTTGGTGTATCAGCATGTCTTCAGGTTTGTAATTCTTTTGTTTCACAGGGCCTTAGACTGAGCTTACTATATTTGCTAGCTATTGTACTAAACACACAAGGAAGATCTTCAGCTCTTGGCTTCTCTATGGCTGAAGAAGATTGCGACATCATTATCAAACTTTATACAAGTGTTTTAATAAAAGAAAAAAAGAAGAAATTAATATTGTAATAAAATTTTAATATAATATTCTTCATTATTTCGGGTCTCATTTACCTTTTCAAAAAATGTTGATTATCTAAAAATAACAGCTAATTATATAACTAGAAGTTTTCAACTTTCTTTTTGAATATCGACTTGTCAAAGTTTGCTACTAAGAATGCCCCTAAATTCTAGCACTAGTTAGTGATAGCACCAATTATTATTATCCAATCATCGGGCAGGGAATTTTTGAAGATCATTCTAGATACGTTCTAGAACTGATCTTCAAATTTGCTATTCCCTGACTGTATTATACAAATACCTCTACCCTAACCTCTTAATTATTATTACCCTTTAAAAACTGATACTTCCCTTAACCCAATAGATAAACAATCAATTGTACAGATTAACAAATTCATTTACAATAATTTTACACTCCCACTTCTTAATTACATAGTCTAGAGGTTTTTCGACCATCTTAGCTAAGAATAGGTCGAGAGTAAACTTGAGCCCTAACTTCTACTCCCTTTCGTTAAATGTATAAATTTATACGAGTTGTATTCAATTATATATTTT